CTCACGAATGCGGTTTCCACGTCACTTAATTAGAAAAGAGATTTACGCGTCGCAATATTATTGCCGGGTTAAATTACGATACGCGGACCGGCGTTTTAGCGTTAAGCCGACGATATTCCGATCCATCGAGATCGCACGATCCTTCCCCCCTGGGTAACGGGATTTCAAGCGGCTGTAGATTACGCAACCGGTAGAAACCCCGGTTATCAGCGCGATGACGAGAGATCGTCTCGGATTCACGAGATCCGGCCGACGACGCTGAATAATTGCGATTTATGGGATTCCTCGTGGTAGCCGGCGATCTGGCGGGTCGATCTTGAACGTTCCCGAGCGGAATTTGTTGGCCAGCTCGATCGTAAAGGTGCCGCCACAACGCGTAGCGTGGCCTCTACAAGATCGTTCTCTCCGTTCGCTTCGCTCGTCAAGAACGTTAAATTCTAACGTCGTATCGAAGTTCTCTCAACTCGGTGCAGCCTCCCCTCGTCCCTCAACCGCTTGTAAACGTCTTCATAACCCTTTAATACGACCAGACTATTACGTCGCGCCATGCTCGAGTTATCTTGCGCGATAAGCTTCGCTTTTGATGCTCCTCGTCGTCTCTGTCTGTTGAATATAATTTACACGTCGGTAGCGTCGCATTTTGCCTCGTCTTTGCAGCCGGCTCTAAGTTGAAGTTGTCCGACACTTCGTTTAATCGCCTCTATCTGTCCATGTCGCGCATACCCAATTCGATCTTCGATCTGCAATCGCTTATGCAGCCTTGCGCGGGGTGTTAAAAATAAATTTGCGGAATCGACAACGCAATGTTAATTAATAGAAATTCTTATTAATCGCGTCATCTTTCCAAGTGAGAAACGTGTATAAAATAACGTGGCATAAATAAATAAAAAACATGCAACTTTCATCCTACCTCTCTCCACGCTTACAAAAGTTTACGATTTGAGATTGCTGAAGAAAGATGAACGAATGATCGATGCGAACGTTTGACAATCCTTGCGAAACAATGCGCGCTCGTAAACGCGATCATAAATTAAAATTAGCCCAAATGGATTACGCGAACGGTGTTTCGCAATAAAAATATGCTTCAGCCCCGTAAATCTTAGGCAGCGTTCTAAACTGCCTGTCAAGGCAGTGCAGCGTACTTAGAATGGCTGGGATAAATATCGCGAGTTTGCATTAGAGTAAGATGAAGAGCCGCGCATTACTCTTCGCATTCGTGGCTTGGTTGAAACGCAAGCAGGCATGGGACTACCTTCGTATCGACAGACGTACAGCCTTACTTGGAACGCACAATAATACCGTGATTAATCTGTTAGACGCGTACCAGTGTAAGTTGTTTTTTACTGTCGTCTCAAATTAATGAAATGATAAATTCGATATGATTCGCGAGCACAATCGATTAATAATTACAAAAAACTATGATTAAATTTTCGTTTGTTTCACTGGGGTTTTAAGCGACGCTTTTTTTTAGATAAATAATATATTATTAAAATAGCATAATTTTTTTACGCAATTATAAATATAATAATGAGATTTTTTTCTCTTAAAAAATAATTAGATTTGTTAACTATGCGGTGGGTTGTTTATCGAAAAATATAAGCAATTATTAATTTTTTAAGTTTTCATATCAGTTTAATTTTATTTTATATAATCTAAAATAAAAGCGTAATCAACTTTTCTCTTAAATTATTATTTCTTAACTGTTTATATATATAAAATCTATTTTTAAATTAGATAACTATAAAATTATATATTTGTTTAACGTTATAATTTAATTTCTCCTTCAGGCGAAATTAATTCTTTGAAAATAAAATTTGTATAGTAAATGATAGCAACGAGTTTGCTTTATAACAAAGTGATTAAAAGAAAGCATTCATGATCAATGGCGGCACTTACCTTTGCAGCCATCCGCTGATAAATCGTAGTGGTCCACATCACAACGATCGCACCGGAAGCCCACGACGCCCGGCGCGCACCTGCACACACCGCTTACGAAATCGCAGAACCCGTCGATGGCACCCACGTCGCAGTCGCATTCCCGGCAACCTGCGGTCACATTCCCGTAGCCCTCGATGCAGGAGGAACAGTCACGACCGGTGAACAAAGACTTGCAAGGACACTGACCGGTCGTCTGTTCACATTGGATCGAATTGCTGCCAATGGGAGAACAGTCGCACGCTGAAATACAAACAGTACTTATACTCGTATTGTATTAACATAATTTAATTGCTACATCACAATTTATTTTGCGGTAATAAGTTTTCGATTGTTGCTATTTCCAACAAATTTATCATAGATTTTTGATATGTAACTGTCAGCATGTAAACCTTTATATAAAAGATAGAAAACCAATTTTGATTATAGAAAAAAAAAGATTGTGGTGATTTTTAAAATTTTTAAATTCAATGTAATTACTAATTAGTAATAATTATTGAGCGATTTTAGAATTTACGAAGATTATCACGAAGTGTGAAATGTATGAAAGTGTTTTTACTCACGCATGCAATTTTGCTCCGAAGGATTTCCGAAGTATGCTTCCTTGCATCTGTCACATTTCCAGCCTTCCGTATTGCCGCGACATTCTAAACAACGACCCGTTTCTTGATCGCAGATACCACCATTACAAGGACATTGTTCGCAAGTGCCGCCGGGTAACAGAGGATTACCATAGTATCCTACATCACAACTTTTCACCAAAATCGAAATTAAAGCTTCCCGATTTAATGATAATATTTTAGTAATGATAATTATTACTCGATTACATGTGTCCACGAAAAAACAATCACGCGATGCCTAATAATATAACCAATAAAAAAATATGATACTTTTAAAAACATCATATTAAATATTCATTTCTTCAACAATATAATCTTCTTGTTTACAAAATTATAAAATTACAATCTCTTAAAAAATTATAAAATTGCAAAAAAATCGTTACAAATTAATTCACTTTAAATAATTTAATTAAAGCGTTTGCATATTTAGTATTTGTATTTTTTAATGTGTTATTATGGAAACTTTAAGTTTTATAAAAATTTATTTAAAATATGTATCATTTTTATTTTTCTTACGTTTCACAATGATCTCCGGTGTATCCTTTGGGACACTGCGTGCAAACGTATCCACTGTTCATATCGGCGGGATTATCGAGTTGACAGCTCGGACTAAAATTATTGGACTCGATGGCAAGCGGACATGCGCATTTTTTACAATCCTCGTTAGTGCCTCTCGTTGCGATACCATAATATCCTGTAGCGCAACGATCGCACTTTGGTCCTACTGTATGATGTTCACATGTCTGCAAAACGAAATTATGCAAACGACATCACGCAAATTAAAATTAAATATCGATTTAAATTAAATATTAGTCTAGAATCGCGAACACAAATTAAACGCAGGGAAGTTTCAATCATTTTAATTAAATAATTAAGAATATCTAATTTTTAATGAAATTAGATGTTCAAAAGATGACTTAAATTAAAGTTGTCTTATAAAAAATTGAATTTATAACAAAAAGCTGATCTCGTATATACTTGTTAAATCCTTGAGAATTTTAAGAATTTGAAGCATTTAATATTTTAACTATTTCTTTTTAAAAAAATATGTTACTTTTATCAAACAAATACAAGTCTTCTTGTATTTCTTGTATGTTATTCTTCTTGTATGTTATTTTCAATCTTTTCCTCAACAATTTCTTACTTCTCATAAAAACATACATATGTATATGGCTAAGTATATATATATATATATATATATATATATATATATGAATATTTGCAATGTATTGACCTCGAATTTGTGTTTGCTAAACTCAAATAACTGTGAAAATCAGTCATTCTTGCGGAAATAATATGTCTAAATCCTAAAGAAAATTAACTACTATCGCTATCTGTATGGCACTATGACGCAACAAGAGCCAAACATTTTCGTTGGATGCTGAGTCGATAAAATAGTTTGCACGATCCATAGATCCTGTGATCTATGGTCACAGATCACTGAATCCATGCAAGTGCTGATACTCTAAACACGCTGCTATACCGGCTGAAGATCAGGCTGAATATCAGCCATAGAGATCTTTCAGAATACTTACATTAAAGCCGGTTGCACACTGAAGAACTTTTCTTATATATTTTCTTATACTACATTATACTTGTATTAAAAAAATTTCGTTCAATATGCTTTTATTATCTTAATATATTATTTATAGCGATAGAAAATGATTTATTAATGTATGATTTTTTTTTATTAAATACACTATATTATCAAACTTTTCTAACTCAATGTATTATGTAATCTTTGATATTTCAATTCAAAAAACAAAATAATATAATTTCTCATTAGCTTCACACTTTTATGTTAAACTTTAATTTTAAAAGAAATTAATCAAAACTTACTCCACATTCGCCCATCACGAGATCGCAGGAGCCAGCATGACCGTTGCAGTCACATTTCACACACACATGATGGTTCTGATAATTAGAACCGTTGATGGGCATTTTTACGTATCCCCAAGCACATTCCTCGCAAGACGTTCCTGTGTATCCCTCGGGACATTCGCACTTTTCGATGAGATGACTGGTCATGCCATTCGGCGATAATTCGCCCACGGTCAACATAACAGATTGGAGCCTAGCAGAAAAATCATATCATTACGCATTATTATAAAATTTAAATACACGCACAAGCCAATGCATTCCGATAAAAGCATTACGGATTTACGCACCTTCCTTCAATTTGTTCCGAATGATATCGCACCCTTATCATCAGGTACTTCAAATCAGCGAGAACATTCATCATTTGCGCCCTCGTCACAGGATTACCATGAAAATCGATTCTCCTCGATCTAGTCAGAATGTCCTGAACGTCGCTTCGTACGTGATACCAGCCTTGCTCTCGTAAAGGTACCACGATTTTGGCCTCTTGACCGTTGTATTGCTCCTCTCCATACGCTATACGTATCCCATTGTTACCCTTCGCATACAAATGCATATCTTTTATCTTTAGCTTTTAGATTAATGTACGTAGAAAATGCGAGAGTGAATATTTACAACTAGAATAACGTTGGGATCCGTGGTTGATTTACCGCTGCTGTCACCTCGCATGACAATCCACGTAACGGAGTATGTGAGATTGCCGCCGTATGAAGATACGCGATTCCCTGTGTAAATCTGTGGCGCCAACCAGAAAGGGCTGTCATACTCGACGTCGAATGCCGCCACGGTCAGCCATTCGTTGTCCGTCTCCAAGGTGGGAACGACTGCCCGAGACGCGTTCATGTCGGTCACCAACCAGTTCTCCAGCGTAGAAATCTGAGAAAAAAGCGCGTCATACGACTCATCTCCCGTTATTTCATCACAAAGCTTCATTGTCGCTATTTCTATGTTATTTCATTTTTCGCGGAGACACATTAAAAAAAAAAAAAAAAGAAGACAGCCTTTAAAAAATATCAGCCTCTTAAAAAATTATTTAATTTATAATTAATTATTATTATTTAATTATTTAATTATTATTTATTATTTATTAGTATTATTTAACAAATAAATAAATAAATTTATATAATAAATAAATAAATTTAATTAATAAATTTATTAATAATAAATTTAGATTTAAATAAATTATGTCATAAATTATATCTTATGCATATTGTCTATTATCATAACATAGTCCGTGTTTTTGCTCGTTCCAGTTCGACGCCATTACCGTCAACGTAATTGCGGGTCTGCAATTTATCGGCGAGGCTGATAAACTATAATTGTCTCTTTATCCAATTTATCGCGCGCGACGACGTGGTCGTCGTCCAAGATTAACGTCCTAAACCGAACGATATGCCCGCAGGAGAATGCCAACTAATCGTTCTGAATTTTACACTTGTCAACCCGGTCTCGACACTTGACAAACGAGGTTTTCCGCTATAAATAAGAATAAATCTTATCGCATATACATATAGAGTACCAAGATTAATGGTCTTAAAATGTCTCAATAAGCAGCGGATTTCCAGCGTGCTTTTCAATAAAAAAAAAAATTTCTATTTTTAAAGACACCCAATTTTTATAATGCAATTATTTTTAATTTTCATTTAAATTCAAATTTTTATTTATGTAATAAACAAATAGATCGTAAAATAATAATAAAAGCGCGCAGAAAAAGAAGTCGAAATTGTAAAATAAAAACTACTAAATAAAATTTCATTATTTTTATAAAAATGCCATACGTTAAGAAAGTATTTTTTACATTATAAAAAAAGACTTACTTCTCTGTACAATAATCTCGCAGTGGTACAGCGATCTGTTACACCAAAACAATAGCAGGGCATACATCCGTCGATGTTATCCTTCATAAGCGCGAAATATCCGGGTTTGCAACTGTCGCAGATTTCTCCGATGACATTCGCTTTGCACAAACAGTCGCCCTCGCAATCGTGGGATGGCAGAATCCCACGGGGATCGCAGGGACATGGAAAGCAATAGGGAAACTGTCGATAACCGGCGGCACATTGATCACACTTATATCCCGAATAGCCCTGTATGCATTCGCAGGCACCTGCTACCTAGAACACGATCGGTGTTTAAATCGATTAGGATCGATCGTGAGAACGGCCTCATTTAAGAATCACGAAGATGGATAATCAATGCGTGCGTAAATCATGCTCGCGCAAGCAATTTACCTCACGGCTGATGTTCCTCCGAGATTTGACGAAAATAATCGCGATAAATTGGAGGGCGAAAAAAAAAAGAATAAAATTTAACGAGCCAAAGAGCGCTAAGAGAAAGTATTTTTTACATTTTTTTCTCATTTATTGGAAATATTGAATATCAAAGCTCGCGAAGAAAAAATTTTAAAAAATTTTATCTAATTTTATCTCTCATAAATCTATTTTTAATATATAAAATATAATAATAAATATTGAATATTTGGGCAATTAAAATTATTTTCATAGGAAGGCTCTTACCTTTCCCATACGCGTGAAGGAATCATCGGGAGTACAGTTGCCTGTACTACCTCTTATGTCGCAGTTGCAGGGCAAACATGGTTCTGGTGCGTTGGGTGCAACGCCATTCGGCCTGTAGTAGCCGGGCAGACATTTTTCGCAGTTAATACCGTCTGTATGGTCCTAAAATTTCGCAAATATTTTAATAAAAACAAATTTGCTGAAACATCCAAAAATTTCGCCAGATATAAATCTAAAAATAATTTTGTTGGATTATCATTATTAACGAATATGTGGGATGCTTAAACGGGATGATAATCATGTTTAAATAAATTTTTTAGCATTTTAGCATTTAGCCAATTTAAGCGTAATTATTTTAATAATCAACCGAATTATTTTCATTTGACCAAAAGTTTTTTGGTCTAAATATTTTAATAAAAGTATTCTTTTCATGTGTAGTATTCTTCTTATCAACATCGATTCCATAAATATTAGAACTTATGTATTAATTGCACAAACAAAAATTAATTTTTAAAAATATAAAAAACTGAAGAAGTATATTAACTATAAATAATTTTCTATAAACTATTCTTGAAACGCATCTTATGCTTTTTGCCCATAAATACAACAAAAAATATTTTACTTGAAAAAATAATGTTACTATTTCATTCACATTATTTTCGTAAACTAAAAAAATCGTTTGTTTTCTAGAGTGCGTGCATTCGTCTCTCACCAAAATACATTTAATCACGAATAAAGCAGAAATAAATCGCGTTTGCGTTTAACTCCTGCTTATCATCTTACCGTGCAATTGACGCACACGCCGCCGCCTCGGTAATTCCCACGAATATCCATGGACAGTCCTTTCTCGGCTACTTCCTTGTCGTATATGCAGGACGTTGCATGGCCATTGCAGTTGCACTTCTCGCAGTGAAAGCCCTTGCCAGCTGTGCCGGGCTGCCATGAGATCTGATTGTACATGGGGCAGCATTTTTCGCATCTTTCGCCGCACGTGTGGCGCTCGCATTCGCATACCTGATGCTAAAGGATAACGCGAAATGTGCTTATCAGATGAAATATCCGTGTTCTTAAATTACGCTTATCTATTAAAGCCGTACAAGCCGAATGCGTACATCCATTGTAGATATGGCGAGGAGCCGTTTGCCAGTTATGCTATAATAGCTTTGCATAATTTTCGAAGGAATGTTTGAGAGCTCGCTTATTGCAACGTTGTCCGGGATTTATGTCATCGTCCTGTTCAACTGACTTGTTGTAAATCTTACAGAAGATATTTCTAATTAATCAAGAAATATTGATAAAATTTTCGCACATAGATCTAATTATTATTGCTGAGAGTTTTCAACAAATAATTGAAATAATTACTTTTTTTACTGATCATTTTCTCTTCGTTACTTGAAATATTTTGTGATGTGTAAATCATAAAACCACTTCGCTTTGGGATATGAACCTGAATGATTGAATTGCCGATTAATCGTATGAATCGATGTATTCAGTAATATTACCAGCCATCCGGATGTTACCACATTGCGAAGTCATAAAGACGAGACTTTATAGACGCGATTGCCTATCCGAATGTACAAACGATATGCATATAATCGCGGATAACTATATCACTGAGTATAAAGTGAAATTTTCATTGCACTAGGCGGTTACATCCGGTTTACGAGTTCAAAGAAATCAGCGATTTGTCATATCGTGAAACTAGCGTTTGTGCCCAGCAAATCAGCTAATCACGAGAAAATTATTACAACTATTACAAATACTTTAAATCTATTTGACTATGCTTGTTCATAAATTTTGAAGTTTTAATTTACATTACATTTCATTAAGTAACTCAAGTGCATATCTTTATTTCTGAAATAGGAGCAACTGCATATTCTTAAAAAAAAAAAAAAAAGATAAAAATGATATATATTGACGTTATACGGGTTATAACGAGAGTAATTATAAAAAATTTGAAATGCGGTGAAATTTCACAACGATAAAATCAATGATTACCTCAAAGTCACG